CAGGGGTCTAAGATTATCCACGTGCATGATATGTAAAGTGATCTTAAACTGGTCACTATAAACTGGGTCAGAGGGATTAAATCAGGAAGACCGTTTTTTCTAATAAGGTACTAAAGTCAGGATGCAACATACAAGTACAATGAAATGCCTGAATGTGGAGGATTATTGCTCAGTTGTGTGATCGCAGCCCCACCTGACTGATTCAGAATCAAAAGACGGTGTTTAACAGCGAGAGAACGATTTACATATTGTCCAAATGTTGGAAGGGTGAGAAATTCTTTAGGCAACATGTTACAGTTAGACAGTCTATTATTAAGCAATAAGTAACGGCAGTAAAATGTGTTCCAAAACCAAAGGAAAACGGCTTTTTACGAATGTCAAAATGGTACGTACACACGATCGTATACATTACGTGCTATTTTGAGTTGCCAGTTATGCTGATCGAGAGAGGAAACCGATGATATAAAACAAGGAGAGCCTGCAAACTCCAGACACACAGAGCAGAGGTCATACTTTGATATTGTCAAACAAGTATAATTATTGCACTAACCCTTTCTAAATCGATTATCATGTGGTGCGTACACAGAAGTCTACATACGTGCTCACGGACTGTCAAAAATGATGTGACAAAGTGCGCATGTGCGCTACCCAGAATAATTTAAGAAAATGGATCTGGAAAAGTTGTTTGAACGTCACATTTTATCGTGAGCCATTCGTAGCTGGTAGGACTGGTGAAAATGAATAAAGTAAAAGTACAAGAATCTCCATCATACTAAATGTGCACATAAATGTTAATTTAGATAGTTGTAAGATCGCTTTTTTAATTTGCGTTAAATTACATTTTCTATGTTAATAACTTTATTTGGCCAGTACTTTAAAACAAGCACCGAGAACTTCTTATACTCAGTGTAACCAACCACTTACGTGACTTATCTTGTCGTAAAAAGAGAAACTTTTGCCCGGCGCAAGTTCTTGGGTTTTTTCATAGCTGTCCTCGACGCTCCCTCCGTGCTGGAAAAGGTCTCCCTGATCCAAAGCCATCACTAACCAGGCAGATCCCCAAAGCGCAATCCAGCCCAACAATCGTCCACGGTACATTTCCATACTTAGGCGCCAAAACAGGTGAAGGTGCCCAAGAAATATTTTGCAACGGACTGGAATAAAATCTCACTGGCAGATCCGCAGAGAAGAAATCCGGAATCGAGGGCGGAGTTGGCGTGGGCTTTTTATGTGTCCCGGGTTATTGATAATCAACCGATTTCTGCGTATACACGCCATGCTCTTGCATACTTAGACTTGTACTAGGATGTTTCCTGATGTTATTCCCAGTTTTCGATGGCATAGGGGCGCGATGTTGTATAACCAGGATTTTTAGGGTGCATTTGAGGTCGGGGACGGCATCTCCGGGGCTGGGAGCTCCAATATGTATTGCAGGAGACTCTAAATTACCCATATGATTGTGTGTTATGCCCTGCGATGGCCAGGCTTTGCCCTGGCGTCTGCCCAGCGGATTCCCTGAAGAATGCAAGCCGCTCCAGCTAATAATTGTCTACAATTTATTGCGCCTACTGCGGTGACCAATCTCATCAGTACTCCCCTACCACAGAGCCATTGTGTTTTATATTTTTATACAAAGAAAAGTCACTGCCCTTTAATTATGTTATAAATAGCAGCGTACGACCCCGAGACCCTGATCAGGACAGCCGATTAGGGAGCTGCCGAAAATCACCGATTATCTGTCAGGCTCTTACAGCGGAAAAATGCGAACAACTCAGACAACATAATTAGGCCTACACATATACCATATGCCCCACCGAACATTCTGATTATAAACTAAATTCATAGACAATACGGGAAAACTACTGCTAGACAGTTTCCAATAAAGTTACCGAACTCTGCCCGGGGGGACCGACACCCTCTCGCTCTCCTTGGACTCCGTTTTAAATGTATAATTGATTAATGAAATTCATTAATGACCTCGCCTTGGAATGGGAATGGGTGTCATCTGAGAGTGGTGTGAATATCCGGAATATTTTAGAAGGTGAGACCTGCTGGTATCGCTGGAAAGGGTGCGATGTGCGTTATTTCACACTGCGATTTGACTATTTGCAACTAAATTAAACCGCTGCGGTTTCTAGGACGTCAAAAGTGCCGCGTCTGCCCTTCGGGAAAAGGGCAATGTCACATTGGGGGAAATGGAGAGTAACTACCGAGTTAGGTGAGGGAACGAACAAGCTATCATGGTGTGAGTTAATGAGATAAAACAACAAATTATTTTGCCATGGTACGACGGGTAAAACATATCCCGGTTGTTATATAGATAGCCATAGCCTAATAATTATGGGCGGCAGTCGTTTTACAAAAAACATTTAAACTTCATAAAGTTCGTGTCCTTGGCATGTGCACATAGGTGTCTCCTGAGCGAATCCGTCCATCAGTCTTCTAACCGCTTATTGCGGGTCGCATTTATTAAAAGCATGGTTTTATTAAAAGCGCAGTTGCTAACGGGAGTTTTTGGGAAACGCACCCCTAGTCACAGTCGTAGGGGGGAAGGTACTGTACTTGGAACCAACCCCAAGCAACACAGGACACAAGGCCGGGGTATAACCCTGATTCTATACATGCCTATATTAAAGGTAAGTCATATTGGGCATTTGTAAAATATGAACACATATATGCCCCCAGTAACTTGCTGCAATGTGTGTTGTTGTTTTAAGAAACTTTGTCGGGTACAGACAGGTTAATAGTAGGTCTGCATAATAATCAAACGGTTAACGACGTCGTTCGTAGTTGATTGGTTTAATGGTCCACCAGCGCCATCTAATGGTGTTAATATTTAATGTGATGCTGCTTCAAAAATGGCCTTTTCTTGGAAAGTTGCCTGTATATGGCACGGAAATTAATAAAAAAGCTGAGCTATTAAAATCCATTCATCCATCTCCCATATCTGCTGAGTCAACACAGGGTCGCAGTGACCCTCCAGCCTATCCTGGTGTGGGGGGGCTTTGGCTCTGATGCCAGTCCATTGCAAAGCAAACATTCACAATCAAACAATAATAGCAAGCTACCCAAAGGGAACCTATGAAAACACAGGGATCCGTACCCTCCACACACACAGCTGGGCGTGAGAACCAAACCCACATGCAGTCTGACTTTAGGGCGATTTTGAAAAGAATATATTTCAAAAGGGTTACCAAATGTTCTCTTAAAATGCTAAACCATGTTTAGAATGGCCCCAAAAATGCTAGAAAAGAAGCTAAGGAAGGAAGAGAAGGTAAAGAAAGCAATCACAATCGAAAAGAAGAAGGAAATTGTGCAGAAATATGAGCGTGGTGTTCGTGTGACCGATCTCGCTAATATGTAAACAACGTCGAAATCCACCATCTCGGTTCTGAAGACATTATGGGTATTTCCATTATTTCTTATGGGAAAAATAGTCTTGACTTACAACCAGCCCTTGCGAATGAATTGAGTTCATAAGTCAAGGGTCCACTGTAATATATATCTTATCTCCTATACATAAAACTATGTATAGGAGTCTTGTGTAGCTCAGTGTATTTGGGATCTGTGCCTATATGCAGAAGGTTGTGGTTTCAAATCCCGATGTTGTAAGAGTAAGTGTATCTTTATTGGGCCTTTAAGCAAGACCATTTACAGCTTTGGAGATTCTGTCTAAGCCCAGCTTCTCAGTGGTTTGTTCCTCTGTAAAAAAAAAACATCTTATAAGTTAAATGGAAGATATCACTGAATTTCAATGACTCATAAACTTCAAGTAATTAGATTAAAATGTGCCTTTAGATTAAATCAATATTTCTAAATACTCATTGTCTAAGTATTTACATATAATACAGCCTGGATTAAATCACACGCCTTAGTGACGCATCTGTGGGTGATGGTGACAGAAGCAGGATGTAAACAAGTTCCTCCTTCAAAATATAGAAATGCAGTATACCGATGGCAAGTCTGCCACTGGCCGTGGGGCCGTCCCATTTTCCGCAGATACTATCCATCCATCTATTTTCTGTAACCGTTTGTCCTGTTCAGGGTTGTAAGGGGTCTGGAGGCTATCCTGGAAGCTACAGGCACAGCGCAGGATGGAGCGCCAGTCCATCACAGGGCACACTCACACACCTACGGGCAATTTGGTGATTCCCGCTAACCTCAGCGTGTTTTTTGGGTGGTAGGGGGAAACCGGAGAACCCGGGGGAAACCGGAGAACCCGGGGGAAGCCCCACAACAACACGGGAAGAACATGCAGCCTCCCCAGTGGAGACTAGAACGCAGGTTCCGAAGGTGTGAAGCAACACTGCACCACCGTACGACCCTCTCAGATGCTAACCTGAGTGAAACACCTTCCTATGGGATGACAGCTAATACATATTGCAGCACCAGTGAGATAGCTCCGCAGAGTGTAGCATATTTGCATTTCCCAGCATGCTTCTGAGCCTTGTAAACAGCATCAGTGTCTTCATATTATTGTAAATAGTTGTATGTAATTAGCATGTATTGTGTCTGGTGTAGTGATAAATGTTATGTGTTGTATATAGTGTTTGAGTGTGACCACTGTGTGTTGGGGGGGTCAGGACAGCCAGCACTGTGGGCAGGGTGTGAGTTAGCTGGCGGTGTGTGTCTGTGTTCGGTCCTGTCAATAAAAGCATATTCTCGCATAAAGTTAATCGCCTTGTCTCCTTTGCTGCAGTTCCTTAGTTTGCCAGACATTATATTGTACTTTTTATTTAGCAAATGACACCAATCTTCATTTTGATTTGTTTGTGAAATCATTCAAATCAGCATTATTGTTATAGCAGGTTTCTGTTCTGTAAAAAGTAGGGAATTTCTGTTCTGTGTTTGTGTCTAGAGGAGATACAGGGTGTTTAGACTCTCAGCGCTTTCTCAGATGACCCCCTACATTGATTCTACTTGTGGACCAGGAAGGAGACGTTAAATCCCAAATACGGAGGTGAAGAATCCCTTGAGAATATTTATTTACATTTGCTTTGGTTTATTGCCTGTTTGTGTGCGTCACACCACAGCTGACTTCTCTCACCACATCTCTTTATTATTTATACAGACATACGCTGAGCTGTGTATATGAGAACATACTGATAGAGCAAATTTAATTCTCATTATAATCCCTGAAAATAGTTCTACCTGTAATTATTAAATTTTCTCAAATGCAAAACAAGAAAAATTCAGACACCTTGGATTTTGTTAAAGTAAATCACATAAACAAATTGAAGGGGCAAAATGTCATTACTGGTGACCTTCGTGGTTGGGATTCCTTAACGTTTTATGCCCTGCAGTGCAAAGGCAAGAAAATAACTGGTTCTGCCAGAGATAACAAGGCAGCCAGGGAATTGTGCCCAATCTGGCTGCCCAGTGAAACCTTTTTTTCTGACAGTCCACTTTTTCAAAGGTGCTCCAGTGTGATCCATTACCCATAATGCTTGCTGACAGAGCTGGTTGTAAACCCTGATATTTGGAATGCAGAGCTCTGTCGCTATAACATGTCCGAATAATGGAGAGGAAAAAAACGAGCATCTGTGGTATAAATATGTAACGATAACCTCAGCGGGGGCTACAGAATCGGGGATGATTTTGCAAAATGATGATATGGCGCTTAAGTACTAAATATACTCTCTTCCTCCAAATTTCTTTCTTTACCATTTTTTGCCAGAATTGCGAGTGAATCACTGACACATGACACGATGATTAAATGGCATTTAGTTCCAATGTCGGGGAAGTTACTCACAAAAGTAATCCATTACAGACAGAGGAGGAAAGTTTGGGTCCAAAAAGTACACATCCAGACCAAGCTTTTGTTTCAGCCAAGCAGTTGAGTACTGTGACTGTGACTCTTCAATCATTGTGCCATGTGTCAGTGATTCACGTGCAATTCTGGCAAATTCACCATGTCAGCAGCTGAGAAGAGGCTTCAACCACCCAAGAGAAAACTGAAGTGTTACGCTTGATTGACGGTAAAGAACGAAATTTGGAGGAAGAGAGTAAGAAAGGGGCTCTATGTTTGTCAAAGAAACAAAGCAGAAGTGAAAGTAAATGACGGGGGAACAGATGTGTCATGTGTGACATCGTCCCCTCACAAGGTGGGATGACAGACCCACACGGCCGTCCGTAACAAGCAGTACAGTGCGGGTCCCAGAAAGGTGAGTGAAGCCGACGCCGCGAGGAGGCGGGATCTCCGGGGTGACATCACTGCCGGGTTGAAGGTCGGAGGTCAAGGCCTGATCAGCAGCCCCACCCTGACGAATAAACCATTCTGGATGGAGATGGTCTGCTGTCACAACACTGCAAGGAAATGAGGCTTGGTTTCTTCTCTCTCTCTCTCTCTCTCTCTCGCTCGCTCGCTTTCCTCTTGCAGTTCTCCTTATTCCTTTCCCGGAGTGGATGACCGAGCCGCGTTCTTGTGTTGGACGTACTGCCATTGACCACGGTTCCTCAGGGATATCGAGGCCACGCCCTGCCTTTGCAGACCACCCACAATGCAGGCGGTCGGGATAGGCCTGGGACTTGAGCTACCCCCCACCCTTGACCCAGAGGGTCCATCCTACTTTAACCTGGGCCTGACTGCAGCCTACATGACCTTCTACTCGCTGATCTTCATCTTCGTCTACATCCAGCTGTGGCTGGTACTACGATACGGGCACAAGCGGCTCAGCTGCCAGACTGCCTTCCTGTCGCTGTGTCTCCTGTGGGCCTCCCTGCGTGCCGTGCTCCTCTCCTTCTCCTTGGGAGGCCCGGGGGCGGCGGCCACGCTGGACCCATTCACCTTCTGGCTCCTGCACTGCTTCCCCACATGCCTGCAGTTCTTCACGCTCAGCCTCATGAACGTCTACTTCACCCAGGTAAGCTGGTTGGCAGGAGGGTCTCTCTGGGTCACCTGGGAGACATACATTAACATATGGGACTAGTTATATCAGAGGCACGCTTTCTGGGCACAGTCAAGTGTGTTAAACTTCCTGTTTGGTTTTATCTGAAGAGTGCATGCAGTAGCCAAGTTGGGTTTTGGTTCACTTCAAGCTTAAATCAATGAGCTATTTTGGGGGATTGTGTGTGGCTCACTGGATTAAGCTACTGTGCATGTGATCAGAATGTTGTTGGTTCAAATCCCCAAGTTGGCAGAGTGATGCCACCATTGAGCCACAGAGCGAGGTCCTTAGCCATCTAGGGACTGTCTAACCCTGTTTTCTCAAAACAAACAAACAAATGTCTGATAAATAAACATGCCAATCTTTTAGACCAGGGCTGCCCAATCTTATCCGCAAAGGGCCGGTGTGTATGCGGGTTTTCGCTGCAACTCCCTAATTATAGATTACTAATTAGAGGACTGATTGGCTGAAGAGTCCTCACACCTGGGTTTGAACAGCTGACCTACAGGTTATCCCAAAAACCTGCATACACACCGGCCTTTTGCGGATAAGATTGGCCACCCCTGTTTTAGACTGTATATACATATTAAGACAAGCAATATATATTAATAAGGATTCTCCTCATTGTCTATTTACTGGGTATATTGCTCGAAAAACTTGCAGACAGTGTCAGAATAGTCAAGAGGCAGATTTAATTTTTAGTGTCGCTTGGAAAGATCCGGGTCAGACGTTGATGGAAGCCCCAGGAGGGCCAAACTGCCACACAAGCGGAGCTAAGACAGGCCCGTCCTTGCTACTGACAGACTGCGGGCCAGAAAATCACCCAGAGCATTCCGAGCAGCTGTGAAGCACGTCAGATGTTCAGTCCCCTGACCCACAAAATCGAGCCATTTGTGAAACTGAAATGAGGCCACTGTAGCTTCTGGGCTGACAGGGTGCTGGGGGGGGATGGGGGGACAGGCGCCTGCCTGTTTGACATCATTGTGCAAGTCTGTAAAATACAAGCAGCTACCAAATGACTTTGTGTTGCAGTTATATGTTTTATGGACAGAACAGTATCCTAAAAATGGGTCACCAGAGGCAACTGAAATAATCTGTCTGCAAGATCCTTCAGTTAAAAATTTTGCTAAAAGTCACGCCTCAAAACTCTGTACAATGGTCACTCACTTAACACAGAATTTCATGGTTTTCCCCAACTTGTTTTTCTATTATTCTGAACCTCAAACTTCCTGTTTTATTAGACATTCTGGTTTTTAGCTGGGAAATGTTCACAGAAAGAGGAGGAAAGGCCAGCCAACTTTAAAACAAATCAACATAAAAATGAGGGACTTGTCCTACTTGCCAAGTCTATTTCCTCACATGCGTAAGACCAAGACGTGAACCTCATAAAGACAAACAAGAAGCCAAAGCACTGAGCTCTCTCAAGTGGCAGGGAGGTCTTGGAAAGCAGCAACCTCAATGTGAGGACCAAACCAGGACACCAGAGTACATGACTGGTCATGTGTCCATCTGGGGGTGAGAGGAGAGTTTGGACAACTGTTACTGGTATGTTCAAGAGACTGATGCTCTGCTGTGTCCTACAAAACAGATCTAAATGCTGTGGTCCATATAAGACATATGTGGTTAAAGCATTAACACTCCCCAGTGTTAGTGAAGCATTAACACTCCCCAGTGTTAGAGCTCCCTTTTGAACCACAGGTAGTAAACATCATCATTTAAATGGTTTGTAGAACGTCAGAGGACCTGAAGGACACTGGGAGATCCTGTCCAACCAAGGCTGAAATAAAACCTCCAACCATGGAGACGTCTGCTGACAAACCTGAGGGGCCATCAGCTTGTAAAAATGTTTTAAAGGCCTAATAAAAGACCAAGAAGGTGCAGAATACTGAGACGTTCACTGAACTGAGACCAGAGTTGATTGGATGCGTATCTTAAGAGGACAGTACAGCTGGAAAATGTTGAAAGAGGTGCCTTGTAAAGAATCATCGCTGTGGCCAGTAATGTAAAGTGTTCTGCTATCTTCATCTGCACTGAGGTCAGGCTGACATCTTCTCTGTATCTACATACCACTTAAGATGTTCACCTTGGGAATCTGTACTGACCAATGAAAAGCCAATAGCCTTCCATTCAAAAATTCAGCAGACAGGCTGATCCTAAGAGTGCCCTGCAATAAAAACAAGATAGAAGTGATACAAGACTGACAGACTGAACTCAGAGAAAGCCAGTTCCTCTGCTAAGGGGTATGGGAGTGGATGTTAGGGGCTTGTACAATCGAAAACAGCCACAGCATCTTTTCCTGTCCTTGTAATCAGCGGTTCCTTATTGCCCTTGAAATCTGCGCTGTCTCTAACAGGTGGTCTTCAAGGCAAGGTCCAAGTATGTCCCAGAGCTCCTTAAGTACAGGTAAACGGACATAGCTGCTGTCGCCCTAACCCTAACCCTAACCCTAACCTCCTTAAAGCTCAAGGGCTTTTTTTCCTGCTGAGACAGACAATCATGTTTTAGGAGGAAAGTCGTAATGAACATAGGGTCTGCACCCCAGAAATATAGAAAAAAAACTGTGCTTTCAAGTTCTACACTTGGAGTCTAATAACTGTTACTGCTTTGATGAGATGGTCATTCACTTCTAGACCCATTAAGTAGTATAAAAATACTCTTTTTTTATTGGATGGGCTGTCAGAACTGACTGGCTCTCTCTTCAGGCCCCCGCTGTACATGGCCATCCTATTGGCCGACCTGTTCTTCCTGGTCGTGAACCTGACCTGCACTCTGCTGATGAAGATGACTGAAACAGACCCAAAGACCACTGCATTGGTGCGTGTGGCTGTTAATGACACCCTCTTTGTGCTCTGCGCACTCTCTCTCTCCCTGTGTCTCTGCAAAATAAGTAAGATGTCCCTGGCCAACACCTACCTGGAGTCCAAGGTTAGTCCAAAGTATCGCCTTGATTAAGTTTTTGCAAAGTGCAAATATCTGCATCGATCGCAATTTCAGCGGTCTGTGTTTCCTCCAGTGGAGTTATATAGCTGTAGGGCCAAGCTTAACACCTTATCTCTGATTGGCTGTGATAATTAACTATCTGGGTGACGCATGTAAACAGATTTCACACAACAAAAATTCCAGGGTGCTACTTTACAGGTTCACCGTGTCACCTGAGGCACAAGAGCATTTAGCGACACATGAATGATTGTGGTACCATTTACAAAACATCCAGCAAAAGAAATAAAACAAGCTGCAGAAGAATATAGTGCTAAATATCTTTTTATCGCCTACAGCATTCATTTTAATAAAACTCATTTTTTTATTGTCCAATTTGCTGCTGTAACAATGCAAATTTCCCAGCTGTGGGAGTAATAAATTATAAATAATAATATAACAATAATTAGAAAATAAAATAAAATAATAAATAAATAAAATCTTATCTTTATGTTTGTTCACCAAGCGACAACATCGCCTAGCAACACTGTGTTCTGTGGCTGGTGCACATACTTTAGTGACTTTAGTGAAACACTAGCGTTTGTTACCCCTTCGAAAAACCGTGCTCATCTCTTAATAGAGCAAGCAGCTATGAACCTGAGCCAGCATGACGGTTCTGATGGCGTTTGAAAGGCTCCCTGTTCTTGCTCCTCATTTCCTCTGCCAGGGAACGTCAGTCTGTCAGGTGACCGTGACTGCAGCCACCGTGGTCATATTGTACACCTCGCGATCCTGCTACAACCTGGTGATCCTGACACTCACCAGTGTCGGAAGCATCAGCTTCGCCGACTCTGACTTTTACGACGTATCTAACCAGGTAATAAGGACGACACAACGTTTCTCTCGCACTTTTGAACCTTCTGACGCCTCTTAAGGCTAATTTGTCACATTATTTCTCTTTTTCCCCTTTTGCTGGTTCATCGTGCCTCTAGTACACGTTAGACACATTGAATTGGATGTTATAAAAGGTGGCAGCAAGGTGGCGCTGCAGTTAAGGACATAGACATCTAATACGCAGGTTTACATCACAAGAGAGGCCTGTTGTACACTTGAGCAAACCTCAGACTTATTAAATAGATAAATAATTGGTAGCTAGTTTTGCAAAACATTTTCTCTCAGTTCTGAAACAGATTTGTATGCCTAAATGTAAAATGTAGTCAGAGTGATTAAAGGTGAGATGTAGTGTTCAGAGTGTCTGCTAGTCTGTCACGTCTCACCGTCTTCCAGGAGAGCCTGCAGACCACTTTAGGGGACAAGAGCTACATCGTGTTTGGGGTGATTCTGTTTGCGTGGGAGCTCCTACCCGCGTCCCTGATGGTCTTTTTCTTCCGAGTGCGGCGGCCAGCACAAGAGAGGGTGAGCAACTAGCGTGGGAAAGGGTGGGGAGTCTAGCGTGGCAAGAGAAGGTGAACGAGAAGGGTGAGGTACAACATTGGCTACCAGACACACTACAACCTGCCCTGTCAGTTATATTACAACTTCTCTATTACAGCTACGTTACATTCTCTGATAGTGATGTCACATATTCAACACATCACTTGTCGGTTATAACAGGGCCTGCTAAATATGTACAATGTCATAATGCCCCTCAACCCAGTACTTGTGTGGACATTATTCCGGTTGTGTTCTTCAGAGTGGACCTAGTCTTCCCGGACATGGTTTTTCCTCCAGAGCCTATTTCTTTGACAACCCGCGGAGATACGACAGCGACGACAACCTGTTGTGGAACACATTCCCTCACGATGTCCGGGCCAGGTAACTATAGCGCCATCACCCCCAGGCACACGCACTCGCGGGAGAGCCAGAGGACCCGATTCGCCGAAGCACTGGAGCGCTGGCATCCCGCTGATCTGCACGGAGCAGCGGCGGGCGGGTCGGTTAGGAACAGGACATGCTAGATCCAGGAACTGGGTAATCCCAATTCCCTCACATCAACCAACTGAACAAACTTGTAGAGTATAATTACAGGCAGCTCTCGACTTACATAAAACCAGCTAATATAATTCTGGACTTCCGCAAAAATACCCAAAATACACAGCGGTCAGGCTAGGCTAATGCAAAAAGGTGACATACGCCCTAAACCTAACCCTAACCCTAACCCTAAATTTACTATCTAAACTTTATCCTTCCATTTATTTAATATGTGTACATTAGTACATATTAGTAGTATATTTTTGGTTTATGTGATTTGTACTACAAGGTGTCTTGGATGGAATGGGGGGTATATCTAACATAAAATTTGACTTACATAATTCACATCAGGCGAGAGCTTCCTGTAAATTGTGAAGGTGAGCAATGGCTGCCAGTGCCTGTAATAATAATAATAATAATAATAATAATAATAATAATAATAATAATAATTGATACTTTATTGATCCTCGTGGGGATATCGTTTCGTTTTGAAGTACACAGTGAAGCAGCTGATGTCATGTGACAGCTTCGTTGCAGGTTATGACCGGAATGGCCTCAACAACAGCTTCATAAACTACTTCGGCAATGAGGGGCTGCATTCATCCACTGCACAGGGGGCGCTAAATCCTTACTGATACACCTACAGCAGCACCACAGCCCTGCACCGGCGCCTGTCACCCCTCTGACCCGACGGCAGCTCCGCCTCTTGCTGTGCATCAGGCCAATCCCACCGCACCAAGATGTGTGGTCTCAGCGCCCTTGTACGGAACTCTCCCTGGCGAGATTCGGTGAACGTCAATAGCCTCTGTTGTAGCGGGATGGGTAACTGGGTAAGTGAGTTAGAGTTAATGCTCATGTCTGGAAGGTTGTGGGTTGGAAAAAAAAACAAGTATCACTAAATATAAATAATGTTTCCTTGGCGGTTTGATGAGGCACAGCCGAGACCTTAACCAGGTCTGCCGAGGTCTGTCAGTGACATGACAACAAGCTAAGTGTGGCCTACAGAGAAACTGGTGATTTTGATCCTCCCTGTGACGCACATGACCATCCTGCAGAGCTGAGTGGCCCATGGAAGATGCTGCGCCAATAAAAGTTAGCCAACACTGTGTCAGTACATATAGGACTTGCTAGCAAGAAGTTGCAAAGAAGAACACCTTATCTAAATATCGCATTCAAATACTGCTGCTGTGTATGTGATACAGTTGATGATATATTGTTAAATTTTGCACCCCGTGGTTTTTAAAAAGAAATATAAATCCAGATTGAGGCAAAGAATAATTCTCACCATGTATTTGAATGTTCACTGTTCCACTTGTGAAAGTATGTGGGGGGGGGGGGGGGGGGGGGGGGGGGGCGGGGCACAAAGGACAAGTGCTATTACAGGGGGTTTCAGATTTGTCAATTAAGTGGCTTGGAGGTGACATAAAGGACGCTGTTTAGCAGGGATAAATTACCATTGGTAACGTTGTGAAAAGTAAAACATCATAGTCTATGTTAAGGGATTGCTCCTAACCACGTTGCCAAAACTCACTTGTAGGCTGTATGCTTGTATAAGTGCTCCCCCTAGTGGCAGTCTTGTGCCACGTAATAAACTACGAGGAACATAAATGGGTTTGCTTATAAATAACATATTTAGAACCCACATGAAACGTGTTCCTATTGACATGAGTGCACAAATGATATGTAATCGTATGAAATGTGACCATAAGAGCAAATGAAACGCGAACACAGTATTTACACGAATTAGTGCAGAAGTACGTACACTGTTACTATGAATTTCACAGAGCAATTTTAAAGAATTTATTTTAGAATTGCTACACATCTAAATAAGTCCAAACAATAACGGTAATAATAAAATAAAATCTAAATTCTCGTAACCTGTCCTAATAACCTGCACATTCCCGTTTGCCACATCTGTTAAGGCTCATATTGTGACACAATAACTGCCATTTGTGAAGTCTTTGGGGCAAAATGTACGAAAGGACATATATAAAATACTGAAAGTGAAAGGTTTTCGCAAACTATAATTCCTGGTCCAAACCGTTTCACGTTACATTGAACAAGAATGTAATATTAACTGTGTTACATAATAATATTCCGCCTTTTGTGCGATATAAAAATCAGAGATGGCAGTTTGCTCGTTTACCGGAATATCAGCGTATACTTGTACATAAAAGTTCCCCTCCTGTGATTAGAACATTCAGAAAAATACCTATATTCACAATGGAAATAATTGTGATTGTCTCCTTACATAATGCGGGGGCAAACTTTCGTGATGCCTGTGACGCGCACAGACTCGAGGTCAGGTATACGATGC